GTAAGCTACATAATCAGACGAATACCAAATAGAAAAGAATTTCTAAGATTAATTTCGTTCAGTAATTTAATATATTGTCATTATATTCATTCCCTTCATTTATGACTAATTCTAAAATATAATGAAGAGAATGAAAGAAATGAATTTAATACATGAACGAACCAAAAATAGAAAATAATATAAACATATTATTTCGCCCATTAGCCCATTGATATATTAAAATATTAGATTTTTGTTGAATCGGAGACCCCATAAGAGTGAATGAATGGCCTCAATCCATTATCTACCTCAATCCATTGTCTAATCACAGGCCCTGTGTAGTAGCCGCACGATAGCCATGAAAAATTGCAGCACAGTGCCAATGCACAACAACCGCCAGAAAAAGAGTCCTCTCCGAAATCAAAGAACCAACAGATTACAACGCTCAATCTCCTCTTAGTCGCTTTTCCTTTCACCTTGCAGGGCCATTTCGTGTTGGGCAAAGGCCACATGCGCAAAGGCATGCACTCGTGTTTTGGCTTGATCTGTCTCTGCCAAGCATGCAAGCTACTCTTTGGCGGCTGTTCCTCTGGCAAAGGGTCCAAACCATGGCGTGGCTGAGGCCGACTAGCTGCAGTAGCACACGGAATAAGAATTGGTGGCACCGCTGATGGGATCTTCACAATCGAAATAATCGCTCTCCGAGTCGAAGTACGCGCAACGATTTCTGTCCCCTCCTCCGGCATACAGGATTCCCAATTGATCTGCTTTTTCGAACCCGGCCTTGCAGTGTTCACCGAAATGCTCCGACACCACATCATAAATGGCCTGCGAAGAGTTGATGGTAGTCATCTTCGTTCTGTCACAAGTCAGTCCGACCGAATGACAGGTCCAATAGCAGCTCGTTCCTGACAGTCTGACACGATAAGAGTGAGATGTCAAAACATACTCTCCAATATTTGGCTGTAGCAAAGACGTTTGAGGGAAGTTACAGCAAGACGAAGCTAGAGTTATTGACTGCTCCACAAGGCGAAACAGTCACCCCGGCCTCCCTGGGCTTCGTTCCATCCAGGGGTTTGCTTCTTCACGGACTGCAAGAGGCAGGTGTCATCTGGGCATTGCGCATGCGCCAGCGCCCACAGAAAGCTGAGGAAAGCGACCACAACCGCCGGCGTAGCCGGGCCCAGGGCCTTCGCCATGTTTGGTCGGCTCAACAGTTGCTACACCCGGAGTATATCTTGGGCCAGTCTCAACGCAAGCTGCGAAGTTGGGCCTACACCTCAGGTGTGGGGTCAATGAAAAAAGAGCTCTCCGAGCCTCAGTCCATCCTATCACCCAGCCAAGCAATGCTGTGTTGCTCAGATATTTTCAGACCTTGCTTGACAAGTAAAAGGGAAGCTAGACGAAAGCTGTGCGAAGGTCACGTTCACTCTACCGGCAAGCCCGAGCAGCCCCGAAAAGCCCAACCAAAGGCTGACCCCCCAAAAACCCCCCAAAGCCCCCCTCTGAAAGGCCCTCCAAAAACGCCCCTGAAAAGGCTCTCCATCCCCCAAAGGCCCCCCCCCCCCCCCCCCAAAGCCCAGAAGGCAAGCCAACAGGCCACCCAAAAAGCCCCCCCAAAAAGGCTTCCCAAAAAAGGCTCCCAAGAAAGGCCCAAGGCAGCCCAACAACCCCAAGACCTCGAGACCCCCCGCTCCCCTCCCGACCCAAAAGTGTGAACCCAGGTTCCAAAACGTAAACTCGGTCAAATCGTTTCCGTCAAAACGTTATTGGGACCCAAGCCCTATACAATTTCCATAAACCTAGCGGCCAGGGCACATACCCTTCTAAACTGTGTCTTAAACCCCTGTCATAGGGTTCGAGTCCTAAGTCCAAGGGTGCACTCGGACCGCCTCATGAAATCTCAGGGTGAAAAGGACCTCATACCACTGAACCTTTGTGATGTGGAGGTTTAGGGTTTAGGGTTGAGGGTTATAGGGCTTAGAGTTTAGAGAAATTGTATATGGTTTGGGTCCCAATAAGTTTTGAGCGAAAGTTTTGAGCGGAACGTTTTGGGCGAAGATTTTTGTTTACACAATAGGTTCTAGGGGGGACGAGAATTCAGAATGCATGTGCAGCCCTCCAGTGTGCCCCTCTTTTCACAATCCTTAACACGGTTTCTGCCTTCGACTTTTAAAGGCTTCTTGGAGGTACCATGGGTACGTGTACCCATGGTTCCTACTTATAGCCTACTTCGAAGACCTATAGGGGGCTTGTAAGTACAGTTATGTTTGGGGCTAGAAGTCATAAGTACCCAGAACCTCCAAACAAAAGGTGAAAATCTGGCGAGCGCACATCCCTGTCCAATTGACGGGGAACTCGGCACATTCGCGAAATTCAAAAAAAGAGACATGTGACTTGCTCGTGAGCCTGCCCTTCAGGCAAAGCCTGGCAAAGAATTGCAAGTAATTGAAAAATTAAATTAACATCCTCGGCTCCTGCGGATCCTCTTCATCACCTCTCCAAGGTCCTATGCCACAGCTGCCCAGAACTGCATCCGAGAGAGCGACTGACGAATCCTCAGGGACAATGACGGCGCCAAGCTCCTGCAAAAGCAGATCGACGTCCGACATGGTCAATGAGCCATTCGTTCCTTCAGACCCATTGCTCCTTACCTTGCGTGTTTTGGACTGGCACAACTCCTGGCTCAAAAACTCATGCACGGCTTGTATACGTGTACTGAAGTACTCGGCCGGGAACAAGGCCTCGCGCTGCTGGATCAGCATGTCTCCAAGCTGCAGGAAACCCCGCTGGAGACGCCCTCCTTCACGCTCCTTGCGCAACTTCAAGAGCCGCACCACCATGGTGCCATAGAGCCCGGTCAAAGTTTCCACCACGCGGGCCTTGTCGCAGAGAATCTCCTCTCCAGATTCAGTCTTGTGGCCCCTTTGGCAGCAGCCAAGTCTTCCTCCATACACATTCAGCAATTCTGCAAAGTCTTCCTTCAAGCCGTGGGGCCCCAAAAAAACCAAAGGCTGTAGCTTGCCCTCGCAAACCATGTACATGCTTTGCTTAGACAAGTCGCACAGGTCGTCTTCTAGTGACACGTCGGACTCTTTGTTTGGTGACTCGTTGGACATGGAGTTGATTGTGCCCGCGCTGCTCACCCCGCTGGCCATAAGACTGCTAATGTGCTGCGCTTGCTCCTGTGCCATAGCAGACATGAGAGCGCAGAACACTTCCAAGCGGCACCAGAAGCGGCTGGCATAGCTTGTAAAGTTGCAGGGGGCTTTTGTGCTTGCATGCAGCACCTGCGGAGCGATGACGACAAACTCAGAGCACGCAGCCACATAGGCCGGCAAGGAATTCACTGCCAACTGCTGCTGCTCTGTGGAACGCTGGGGGATGCATGAGTAGTCCACCCACACAAATATGTTCTCGGTCTTCAAGCGCTGCGAGCGTGCAATCGCCTGAATCGCTCTGGTCATGTTGTCAAAGTGGTGCCCAGCCGGATCGGGTAAGTCGGCGGAGAGCCACTGATGAGAAAAGAAAATGATGCAGCCCTTCCTGCGTAGCTTGGCAGCGGCTACAGGTGTGTCCAGCATGACTAATAATTTCCTATCACGGAGGCACTCGTGCTGCACAATCTTGCCCAACTTCATAAAGTCAATGGCTCGCAGCACCGCCATCGGGAACTGCATCTGCCTGCAGCGCTTCATCAGCCGCTTTGTCCCTGACACGAAGTCGCCGTGCTGAAGTTCCCTCTCCCTGGCTGCTTTGTCCAAGACCTGGATGACCTCCAAGTAGAAAGCATTGCCCGTCATAAGAAGCACATCTAGCAGCAGGGACACAATGATGGGTACCTCAGCGCGAACTTCCGCCGCCTCCCAGATGACGCTCCATGTCCACCCAGAGGCATGGGTCTTGTGCGTCAGTGGCAGAAGCGCTATGTAATGCATGCTGCAGACAAGAGCAGCCACCAGCCAAGCACCGGCCACGCGCCATTTCGTGGACTTCGGAGGGTGCTGGAAAAGAGCCATGGTTCCCATTGAACAAATTAAAGCCACCACCAGAGTCATGAGTACCATCCCTACATCGTAGTGGATGATGAAGGGACCCCTTTCGGCAAGCAAGCCAACATAGTGCAAAGAAAAGATACCCGCGGCCAAGATGACAGACGAAAGCGCAAGCCGGTGGCCTGTGCGGGACGTGCCCTGAGCAAGATGCACTGCCATCGTTGAGAACATCCAGCCGATCAGCGCAGAAAATGACGTGATTGCTTTGTCGAAACCCATCGAAATTTCCTGTGCGCCACCAGATTCAGACCCACCCCAGAGGTGAACGCTGCGCATCGCAACGAAGTGCATCGCCCAGACGGTAGAGATTCCCAGCCCAAGACCGCACTGAAGGAGCATAATGTAGTACCACTTCGTGCTTTGCACCAATCGCAAGTATGCTGAGGTTGTTAGCGCTGCGAACGCGCCTATAAGCGAGACAAAGGCTGACAACAACACCAGCATGCCATCGAAATGCATGTCCACGACTTCCCCCTCAACATACCCAGGGGGCAGCTCCTGCCATAACCTTCGTTCGGGGGAGTTGGTCTTGGGCAGCGCCCCACTTTCCGCTACGGGGAACAGAACCACAATGACCGCTGCAGCCACTCGACGGAGGGAACGACAGGAGACATGGGGAAGACAGCACATCTGCTGGCCACAGGTGCAGGAGCTTTTAACGTTCCTTGTGCCTGTAACAGCTGCGACGGATGTTACAACTCCATCTCTCCAAGCAAGACCCGGCCAGCCTTGACACCTACATCTTCTATGTCTGACTTCTTGCTGAAAGGTTCGGTGCGGAGACCTAGTGACTAGGTGTGGCTAGTCAAATTCCGGGTTGCGTCGCGTTGGCTTGGGGGAGTTCATGCCAAGGTCTTCCGTGTGCGTCCGCAGGTGCAGAACGCATTCCTTCGAAAGGGCAACGCTTGCTCGTCGCTCTGTGCAAACATGAGGGATCTCGAATGTCGCTTTCTTGATGTGCTTTGTTGCTCATACTCCGTCGCCATTTTTCAGCTCAAGCACCCGAAATGTGTTCTAGGGCAATTCCGATCGCTGCTGATGCTGCAGCTGACGGCTGGATTTTAGCCGACACCGCGTTTTCGAACCTTGCTCCTTGATCTCAGACTGCCTTCGATCGATCGAAGGCAGCTACGTGGGCTGCCCACGCGCGTGCGCGGGAGCTAGCACTGTACTGTGAGCAACATGGCGGTTTCCGAAAATAGGGGTGGGGCCCTTCAAGCGGAATCTATCCTATTTGGGGTGTAAAAGGTGTACCCCTATTTTGGAAAACACCCACATCTTCATTTGGGAAACACCCACATGTGAGCACTCGGGGCGGGCACCTCGAAGCGGGTCGATGAGTTGGACACCGGAGGATTCAACGAGAAAGTGCGACAGATTTCGTTCTTACAAGTATTTTGTATACACGGGCACTATGTCAGCAACAGACCCCAACAGCGGTGTTGTTCCGCATCTGTGCGGCAAGCCGTCCCTGCCCGGAGGACACTCTGTCATCTCCACAAGTCCTCGGCAGTTCCAGCGAAGCGTGGATCACCTGCAGGGACCTCCGAGCACAGTGACAGCTCACCCTGCTGCGCGGACCGTGCAGCCGGCGAGGGCCTCGATGGCTGCAGGGCGGGTCACGATTAGGATTCACGATTCAGGGTTTCGGGGATTGAGGGTCTTGCTTCGGGCTTGATTGATGAATCAGAGGCCCGGATCTTCCTGCAAGGTCGTGCGCCCTTGCAGCTTTGGACCTCGCACGCTACACCAAACTGATAAGCTTGCGCCGTCGCGCTCTTGCGTATAGGGTGTCTTGGGTTTAGGGAGAGCCTGGGTGGGTTGATAATGTGGGCTTGGTAAAGAGCTTACATATAGAGTCTGAACATTGAAAAGGTTTGGGGAACAGGGCTTAGGCTATCGCCTGCTCACAGGCTACCTGTCTTCTGAACCCAGAAAGGTCCATGAATACTACCTCTATACCCAAAACCCTTTAAACCCCAAACCCGAGAAGTCCTATGAGCCCTAAACCCCTTAAACGCCAAACCTTAAGGCAAAAAAACTAAAGCCCTTAAACCCCGAAACCCCTAAACACCCTCCTAAACAAAACTCCTAAGAACCTCTGGGCCCCCGATCGCCAGCAACTGCTTGAAAGTGGATGCGCGAGGAAACCAGGGCCTCAAGTCTTGCGGGTTGGAGGGCGGAGTTTGGTTTAAAAGCCTCAAGGGATCTAGGGAACTTCAAGGGTTCAAGGGATTTAGGGAGCTTGCAGAGGGTTTTTTTTTTGGGGGGGGGGGGGGGGGGGGTGAAGGTTGCTATTATTATTATTGTTGTTTGTTGTTTTTTTTTCAGGGGGGGGGGGGGGGGGGGGGGTGGGGCCAAGGGTCTTGTGAGTTTAAGGGGACTGATGGGGGTTTCAGAGGGCGGGGCTGGGGGTGTACTGGGGTCTGGGGGCTTCTAGGCGAATGGCTCTGTTTGGAGCCATAGGGTTGTATATAGGGCTTACAGGGTTTTCATATAGGGTTTATGGGGTTTATAGGGTTCTTTACATAGGGTTTCGGGTTTAGTGTGCAAGCCTTGAGGGGGTTTGTGCTTAGGGCATTGATCTGGCTTTCGGCGATTCCAGTTCAAGTACCATGTCCAAGTACCATGAAACCCTGTTTAAGGCCCGCCGCAAACTGCCATCTCCAGCTTGAGAGCGTTGGCTTAAGAGTCCTGTTTACCGCTGACCTTTCAGCCTAGCTTGTTTCGGTAAGCATACCTAAGCATGCAAGCACAAGCGCAATCACTGGGGGGTGATGTCGGACAACATGCGGTCTATGGTGGAGCGCAATTGTGCTGCAGGATGGTGGTGCTCATGTGCTGGCGTAGCCCTAAACCCTTGAAACCTTGAACCCTTCAACCCAACACCCTAAAGAGACCTTCTTGATCCTGGCACGCCTCAAAAGCCGGCTTTTAAGAACGCCTCAGGAGGCACCCCAGTCCCAGCGCCAGTTCGCGCATGGGTTTCACCCTAGACCCTAAACCCTAAACCTAAACCTAAACCCTAAACCCTAAACCCTAAACCCTAAACCCTAAAAGGAAGTTTGTTATTTGGGTGGGGGGGGGGGGGGTTGGATGGGTAGGTGGATGGCGGAATGCTAGGTGTTGAGGGCGAAGATCCCACAACCAGAAGCTACCCCTGCTCGGCCTCCGGGTTTTGGGAACAGGGGAAAGAGAATGCAGGCACTGGATGGGGTTAAGGGTTTAGGGTTTTAGGGTTTAGGGTTTAGGGTTCAGGGTTTAGGGTTTAAGGTTTAGGGGTTTCGAGCACAAACCCCAGCAACATCCTCAAGGCCCCCAGAACCCCTTGGCAGAAAAAACCTCAAGCCCCAAAAGCCCCGAAACCCCGAAAAAACCCCTTGAACAAAAACTCCGAAGAACCTCTGAACCCCGGCTAGCAACTGCTTGAAGGCGGATGCGCGAGGAAACCAGGGCCTCAAGTCTTCCGGGTGCTTTCCCTCAGCACTTGTCTGTACAGCCAACAGCGTCGGGACATGTCTGGAAAGAGCAGAGCTTCAGATACCTCTATCAGTGGCAGAGGCGATTTTTTGTACGAGCAAGCCTCAGGTGTCGTCAAGGTTGGCAGTTCTAGATTTTACAACCTGACTGCATACCTTGGCTGTGAAGCTTACATGAAATCCATGGGGTCGGTCCTGAATTATGTGGGCCATGCTGCATCTGAAGATGCTGCAGCAAGTGGAGACTTTGCCCTCACTGCAGCTTGGTTAGGAAGACGAAGAGTTCACCTGCAGCACCTCAAGTATCTGTAGCAGACACAATGTCACAACCTCTTGACCCCTCTTCGAACACACATCTCGCATATCTGTTTGCGGTAAGTATTGCTGATCGGACCCTAAATCCTAAACCCTAAACGGCCCTAAACCCTAAAGTATCCCCGTTGCTTCACCTTGTAGATGGTGAGATCGGAGCACTGGAATGTAACTCTGAATTTTCTTTGACTCAGAGATTCCAACTAAGAAAGAAAACCTAATCATGTTTCCACAGGTTTGACGGGTTGAGTCTAACCCCAAACCCTAAACCCTAAACCCTAAACCCGAATAGAGGTGCCTAGAATTCTTGGTGGTCCCGTGTGACCTGTAAAAAGTGGACTGGGTCTGTGTTCACTTCGTGCCAAGCGTTGCTCCGCGATTGCACTTCACTCGCTTGCAGTAGCCCCCGCTCATGAGCTCTGCGTGCACGTCCACGCCTACGTGCACGGCGCATATGGAACTCGTCGGAAGAGAGCCAGCATAGTTGGCCTGCTCAGCTGTCGAAAAAGCAGTTCTCTCAAGCCAGTCCAACGGCTCTGCAGAAATGACTTGTGTGTCCTGGGGCCGCGGCACTCTGGTATCATGGACCAGAGCTTTGCCTTCCCCCGACGCCCTCGGAACACCAGGTACTGGCACCAAAACTCGCACCGCTTCTGTCGTGCGCATGGCGGCGGCACCTCAGCTTTGCGAATGCCAGCCAGTACATCTTCTCAAGTTTCAGGGCATCGTTACCTTCAACTTCCCAGAACAGGCAAGACCCGAGAAGCCTGCAAACCTGCTCAGCTGTTTCGGCAACGAAGTGAGAGCGGCATGCTGCAACCTGCCTTCTGTCACTGCGAGAGCAGCTGATCAAGCCAACATGCTAGCGACCCTGCGCACGACTGCGCTTCTGTGACTGGAGCGTGCTTTCTGCAACATGTGCAGCCGCATAGCCACTGCGCAAGGATGACATCACCCTTTGCAAGGATGACACGCAATCGAGTGTCACGACGCCGAGAAGATCAGCACGGCCGACTGCTGCCATGGCTCGAAGGTTCTGTGTGAAAGTATCACCGGGTTGAGAGCGTAACGACTTGCCTACTTATATATAGATATATATATATATATATATCCAGGTGCTAATATTTGTTTAATTTTATTCGCATCTCTATTAATATTTTCATGAATGGTCTTACTAATAATTATCCTTAAGATTCGACGCATGCCTTGATGGAGCCTTCATACTGGCCAGGGCGGAGGTCTGGAGGCAGGTTGTAGCGAAGGTGAGGCACAAAGCTAGACAGGTCTCCTCTCCAAACTTCATAGACCCCCAAATTCATGACACAAATCAGCACCATTTACCAACATATTCACCCTCGTAGAATTAATGTCCAGCAGATCGGAGAGGCTGTGGTCGAAGAGGTTTTGGTCGCAGAGGCTGTGGTCGGAGAGGTTGTGGTCGGAGAGGTTGTGGTCGGAGAGGCTGAGGTCGGAGAGGCTGTGGTCGGAGAGGCTGTGGTCGGAGAGGCTGTTGTCGGAGAGGCTGCGGTCGGAGAGGCTGTTGTCGGAGAGGCTGTGGTCGGAGAGGCTGTGATCGGAGAGGCTGTGGTCGGAGAGGTTGTGGTCGGAGAGGTTGTGGTCTGAGAGGTTGTGGTCGGAGAGGCTGTGGTCGGAGAGGCTGTAGTCGGAGAGGCTGTGGTCGGAGAGGCCGTGGTCGGAGAGGCTCTGGTCGAAGAGGCTGTGGTCGGAGAGGCTGTGGTCGGAGAGGCCGTGGTCGGAGAGCTAGGAGCCTTATCACAGGTGACGACAAGGTTCGAGACCGCAATGTTGAATGAGTGAGAACCCAGTTCGATATACAACTTCAAAGTCAAGCTCGTCCCAGTTCCTTGGCTGATCTGGGAGGGCTGAGGTGCACGTGCTTCTTGGAAGTATAGCTAGATTCAGCAGCGAGATGCACAGCTCGCGAGATCTGAAGACTCAAGACCCATCGATCCCGATCTTCAAACAAAACATGCTCAAGGGCATCCCAGGTGCCGATAATGTGTCTCCGAGCCTCTTGGGCAGTTGAATTGAGAACCGTGTTTCCCCAGAAATCTTCCAGCCTGGGCACTGTGAAAAAAAACCCTGGCGGCAGCACCTCCCGGACGTACCATTTCAACACGACTGCCTCGGGACCACCATCCAGAGATGCCAATATCTTGATGGAAACGCCAAGGTCATTGTAGTCGTAGACAATGTCGCCGTCACCGTCCGTGGCAAACTTCCCTGAAAAACGAAGAGAGTCTTCCGAACAGCCCGAGACATCAAGGTTCTCCCAAGTGACAGTCGCCTCTATACCAAATTCATCCGAACCTTCAGCGACCAAGTAGGCATTGTCAAAGCCATAGATCCCCCAAAAACCAGGCAACCTTCCGTAGACCCTTCCGGTTTCGTTTCCCGGTAGAGCGCTTGACACATCCCCGGGTCCCCCGCTGAAAAGACCTGTTTTGCCGTCAGCATTGAGGATGCCAAAGAAGATTGATGCTCCGTCCGACAAGAAGGGGGCGGAGATCTGGAAATGGGTGCTGCCATCGAAAGTTTCGTTGAGGATTGTCAGGGCTGGTCCCGCCTGCCAAAGGGATGGAGGTCTGGAACAGTTGGAACTCGCAGCATGGAGCTAGCCGAAAATTGCAACGACTGCAGAGACCCCCGAAGCATGAAGGGAAACCCAAACCCTACTGTACCAGGATGAGCTATTGGGCCAGAAAATCCCCATAACGAACCCTATAAATATAAAGGGCCTTTAAAGGGATTATAGGGTATAATAGCCCATCACCCTGAAACTCTGAGCCCGTTTACGCGCCCCCGAATGTGCATGGCCTGCGAAGTCTTCAGGACCCCGAAAATCACCAACATCAAGCTCCACCTTGGAATTAGGGCTTATAGGGTTTAGCATCCAGGGCTCCGGAATGCTATCTGTTTGGGGGATCTGATCCCGGAGCACGGAGCACCTCAGCGGCCACCCAAGCGGCTACCGAAATAGCAACACCAAGAGTGACGACACAGGCTGGAGTCGCAAAACCCAACCCTAAACCCTAAACCCTAAACCCTAAACCCTAAACCCTAAACCCTGAAGCAGTTAAGCCATGGCGAGCTGCATGCACTTCATGCCCATGGCACGATCTGGATCCTGTCGATGGCTCAAGCGAAACCAGCCCGACACTTTGGTCACAGAGGGAAGGGCACTTTGAGCCACCGCATTTTCCGTGCAAGGACCTCTTCACTTCAGGCAGCTTTAAGCTCTGACAGCTCACCATCTACCACCCGCTTAGCGCGCCCAACATGTGCTCGGCCCCGCACCACTGCTGGCCACTCCGGCAGCCAGGATGAATCCTGGACGGCTTGAGGGATCCAACTAGTCCGGACCAGACTGTCGCTACTCACGACGTGGGGTTGTGTAAGGTCACTCTTCTTGCAAGCGTTGCCAGTTGTCTAGAAGAGAAAAACGCCCGAGGTCGGCAGTAGAACCTCCAACCCGGGAACCTTAAGCCGAAACTTTAATCCTCACCCCAAAGCTCGAAACCCTAAACTGCCTAACCCCGCCTCCCCCCCCTCCCTCCCCCGCCCCTCCCTTAACTTCCTCAACCCTAAATGGGAAGGTTCACCTGGCGCGCATGCGAAGTCGCCGAGAGCGACAGCCAGGGACGCCGGCGCCTGCGTCATGTAGCTGTCGCTTGGCTGAAGCTTGTTTCTTCGAGGCACCAGGACGCAGCGCGCCCAGAGCCCGTTCCGTAGGTCAAGATTATTAAAGCTCGAGGACCGTTTGGGGATTTAGGGCTTGCGACGGCTGAAGTGCAGGGCCTGCTCAGCACGTGCTGCTTCTGCAATTTCCTGAGCGCGTGGTAGTTCAGTGCTCACGGAACTTGTCCGGTGAAACTCTCGTTAGATGTCTTGGACAACGAGGGGGACTTGGGTCCCGCAACCCCGGACCCTATAATCAGTCGGCATGCCACCTGCTGAAGCTGCATGCATCTCTCGAGAGCGACCTCGCGCAGGTCCTCGCCAAAATCCACCATTTCATCATACTGAGCTGATGTTTATGAGCTGGTTGTCCAGGCCATTTCAAAAAAACCGTAGCCCTAGAGACTCTAGGGATACGGTCTGTTTAGAAATGGCTTGGAATGCGGGCACTTTGGCCCTATAACGACGGTGGTCTCGTCAGGACCCGGACCCAGCCTCAGGGCGGGGCGCAGCCGGGCTCCGGATGAGGCCCCGCGGCGCCAGGCTATCACCACACTGTGGAAGCAGGTTTCTGCCCGTGGCCATCTCAGCAGGGTCCGGAGGGGGTGCCTCTCTGGCGCAGTTGTAGCGGAGCCGTGCAGGCAGTGGCCAGCGCCGTGCCACAGCCCATTCTCCGAAGAGTCCCACTCGAAGCTCACAGTGGCGGCAAGCAGCCCTTTCACAGGGCCCCATGGCGCTTAATATCCCACGTTCGTCTAAGGTTTACAGGGAGCACGGGTTCACAGAAATTTGGGTTTAGGCTTCAAGGGTTTAGAACAAGGGCTATTTGACTGCCCCAACCCTTCAACAAGGACTTGAACAAGGACCTGAATCGTTCACCATGATCGTCAGAAGGCCTATATACTATAATGTGTTGCGGGCAATCAAACATGCTTTGTCGGTTTGGGATTTAGGGTTCGTGGCCGATCTAGGGGCGCCTCGAAGCTTGTGAGCCCGAAGAGCTTTTCAGGCAGCGGCTGGGCTTGATGGTCTAATAATGAATTCAAGCTCGAGGACCATGTCGGGATTTAGGGTGTGCGACGGCTCAGGGATGTTCAGGGCCTGCTTAGCACATGCTGCTTCTGCAATTTCGTTCGCGCAATGGTCGTTCAGTGCTCACAAAACTTGTCCGGTGAAACTCCCGTCAGATGTTTTGGACAGCAAGGGCGACTTGGGTGATCTAACCACCCCCACGGCTTGCAACCCCGGACCCTAGTCGGCGTGCTACCGGCTGAAGCTGCATGCATCTCTCCAGAGCGACCTCGCGCAGGTCCTCACCAAACTCCACCATTTCATCAATAAACTGAGCGCTCTTCACGAGTTGATCGTCCAAGCACTCTAGGGACACACTCTGCTTGCAAATGGTCCGGAATGCGGCATGTTGGCCCTAATGAGGATGGTGGCGTCGTCACAACCCGGACCCAGCCCCAAGGCTGGGCGCAGGTTACCACCACACACGTGGGGCGCAGCGGGGCTGACGGAGCTCTCACTGGAGACCATGATACAAACTCCGTTCATGTCCAGGGACGACCTAAGGAGGTCTTCTCTGGTCATGAACAAAAAGTTTGAATCATGGTCTCCAATGAGAGCTCCTTCATGTCCACCTTGCAATCGACCTGTGGAAGCAGGTTTTGGCCTGTGGCAGGAGGCGCTGCCTCTTCTGGTGTATATATAGTTGTATCTGTAGAGCTGGTTCTGCGCAGGCAATGGCGGAGCGGGAAGAGCACCTCGCCTCCAGCACCGAACCACGCCCAGTCCGTTCACTGCGAAGAGTCCGAATCGACGACCGCAGTGGCGGCAAGCGGCCCTCTCGCTGAGTGCAACTATGTGGGAACTATGTTGGTCTCGTCGTGCCTCTGAAAACGTAAGAACCCCTTGGCATGGAATCTCGGCTTCAGGGTGGCTGGCCTCAGTGGCCCCGGCGATGGGATATACATATATATATATATATTATACATAGCTGTTCTGGGATGAGACACAAAGGTAAACAGCTCCAACCCGTTCTGATTGCAGTTCAAGATCTGTTGCTCGTTCTGTGTGGCTGAGCCGCAGACGCTGCAAGAAACCTTCGCTACCTTCAGCCCCATGAAACACCACACCCTAAACCCTAACTAACCTCTTCCGACTGCCATCGCTATTGTCTCTCTATTCTGATGTGTGTTGCCGAGCCATAACGACAAATCCCTTTGTTTGAGGTTCTATAGTATAAAGGCACAACACGTATTTCCTAAGGGCACTCTTCCTGCAAGCATTTCCAGTTGTCTAGCATTGCCCTACAAGAGCAAAGCAACACCCAAGGCCGCCAGTAGACCCTGAAGACTAGGCACCCAAGCCCAAACCCTGAAGCCTTAAGCCGAAACTCTTACCCTCAAAATACGGGTACAGGATCAACCCAAACTCGAAACCCCCCAATCGCCCAACACCCCCTCCCCGCCCCCCCCCCCGCCCAACTTCCTAAACGCTCAACGGGCAGATTCACCTTGCGCGTCTGCGACGGCGCCGACAGCGAGAGGCGAGAGGCGCCGGCGCCTGGCTCTTGGCTGAAGCTTGCTTCTTCCAGGGGGACTAGGCTTCAGTGTTCACCGGGTTTGGGTAGTGCTCAAACCCCTTCGGAGGGAACCCCTTCGGAGGGGAATCTTGGTGTCTGGGTGGCCCCCCGGTGGTGGGACCTAGGATGTAAGCCATTTCTGATGGCAGTTCAAGCTATGTTGCTCGCTCTGCTTGGCTGAGCCGAAGGCGCTGCATAAGCTCGACATGGCCTGCGCAGCTATGCTCCAGTACGGTCCGAAGGACAGGGCTGCCAAGGGGAAGGGGCCACAGGCTTCACCTGCACAAAGGGTGTAGGGTTGAGGGTTTAGGGCTTAAGGTTTGCAACTGGCATGGCAGGGATTCCACCGCCGCAGACAATCCCAACTATCAGCAAGGAGCTATGAAACCTGAAAGTGCTCATCATGGCTCAGGGAACTCAGTAGGCACTCGACAAGCCAGGCTAGATGGAGGATTTTCTAAACTGAGGCTGTTGGCTGCACCCCACTCATACCAAAATAGGGCCCTATCCGGCCCAACATAAAACACACATAGCAAACATCCACAGCACCGAAACGTCCAGAGGCCCTACAACCCTGAACCAAACTCCGAAACCCGCAGTCCCCCAAACCCTCTCAGCCCTTTACAGAAGCCTGGTAGCCTACAAATTTCGCTCCCTGAACTCGCGAGCGCCTGCACTGGCTTCGGGTGGACAAGGTCGACCTCGGGCCCCAACCCTAAGCCTCTCAATTCAGGGTTTAGGGTTTAGGGTTTATAGGGTTTATAGGGTTTATAGGGTTAGGGGAAGCTTTTGGGTTAAGAGGCAGCTTTTAGGATGCCGACCCGTACGGAAGGGCCCAGCGTTTCAGCGCTTACGCTTCCTGTACCCCAGAAAAGGGAGACCCCCGCTTTTGGTTTAGTTGGCGCCTTTTGACCCCGGATTTGAGCACATATGATCCCGGCTCTCGGTTCGCCAACCCCCCCCCCCCCCCCATGGTATGGTCCCCCCCCAACCGCCTAACCCTAAACCCTAAAGCCCTATAGACCCTAAACGCTATCAACCCTAAACTGAAAACCAAAAACCCTAAACCCCAAAACCAACCCACAACCACACCACAAGGGGGGGGGGGAACCTTAAACCCTAAAACCGTAAACTCGAAAATCAACCCACAACGAGGAGCTGCTTCTGCAATTTCCTTAGCGCAGAGGTAGTTCAGTGCTCACGGAACTTGTCCGGTGAAACTCCCGTCAGACGTCGTAGACAGCACGGGCGACTTGAGACTTGGGTGATGTAACCACCCCCACGACTTGTGCAGCTGCACGCATCTCTTCTGGGCGACCTCACGCAGGTCAACGCGGGCGACTTGGGTGAATTAAACACCCCACGGCTTGCAACCCCGGACCCTAGTCGGCGTGCTACCTGCTGAAGCTGCATGCATCTCTCCAAAGCGACCTCGCACAGGTCCTCGCCAAAATCCACCATTTCATCAACTGAATGCTCTTCACGACTTGATCGTCCAAGCACTCTAGGGACACGCTCTGCTCACGGATGGCTCGGAATGTGGGCACGTTGGCCCTAATGAGTCTCTGTAATTTCAGAGGAGGAGCTGCCTCTTCTGGTGTAGTTGTATCTGTAGCTGGTTCTGCGCAGGCAATGTCGGAGCGGGAAGAGCACCTCGCCTCGCCGTGCCACGCCCAGCCCGTTCACTCGAGCTGATTTTGCGAGCTGGTTGTCCAAGCACTCCAGGGACACGCTCTGCTCGCAAATTTCTCGGAGCGCGGGCACTTTGGCCCTAAGGAGGACAGGTGACACCGCTCCGGGTTCAGTGCTTGCAGTTCGAGGAGGTCCTCTCTGGTCATGAACAGCGT